GAATAATTGCTTTTAGAACTTATATTGCACATGTAAGTGAGCTTGGGGTGGAAGATCCTTGAGGACCCCTTGTCTTACTAAGATTTCTTGTTTAGAGATCTCACCCCACGTTTGGGGAATGCTTATTTCAGGGTCAGGTAATGTTGAGAACTCAGGCGGCAGGAGGCCGGAGCTGAGTTAGACATTGATGATATTATATGCTGACTTGTTGGATGCTGGATATGCATGTTGCTTTTATGATCTGAGCTTCATTTTATGTTTATGATTGTCTTGTTGAGACGCTGTTGATTTGGTGAGCATGGGGATTGTCCATGCCACACAGACTTGGTTATGTCTTGTTTATTTGGAGTTGTAATAATGTATCAGGATATTGTCCGGACTACGTGATGTAGATCTGTGATTTAGATACTCACTTTATTTATATATTGAGGTATTTCAATAGATGTCTTATTGCAATTTACATTCAGGCGGTATTTTATGAAATTGATTAAGTAATCAAGTTGGTAATTGATAATGACGTTATAATTGAAAAGAAAAAGAATATTCCGCATTTTTAATTAAGCGTAGCTTAATATGATGTAATGATAACACTACCGGAGATATACGGGGTGTTACAGTGATCATACCACAAGCTCAAAACAAAGATGAAGGTGCTCTTGGAGCTTTCCCTTTAGCTCCAAAGGTGCAGACACCAAGTTGAACGAAAATGATGCTCAAGGTAGCTCTTTTACTCAACAAGAAAGCTCCTTGGAGCTTCAAAACACCAAATAAAAGGCCACACCCCACAAGAGCATAGAACACAGCCCGTAGACTCCTAACACAGCAGTCCCACACTCAGAAGATGGTTCCTTTTTCTCACCCATCACACACCCAAGTGTTTGCGAGGTTAAAGAGAAGGAAAATCAAGAGAAAATGGTGGTTTTGGTCACAAATGGTGAAGGAATGCAATAGAACAGTGATAACCACTCAGCCTCCAAGTGTTCCCACGAAGAAAACTGATATGCCTAGGGTTTTGAGCCAACACAAGAGTATATATAGTGGTTTAAGTCACAAACGCACAGTATTAACTTTAATTGCTACGCTTAGCATTTTAATCCCAATCTTTGGATTCTTAACCTACTCAATTTTTCAAGAATTAACATATTTTTATTTTATTTTTCGGAGCACTTTTCCGGTACGCGCTTTTCATAGCCAGTATCAGTTTCTGGCACCAGTTCTCATTATTTTAACTTGAAACTCATTTTACAAGTCCTATATAATATTCTAGGAATATTCATGCACTTATTATAATTTTCCGGGATACTTTTTCGGTACGCATTTATACCGACTAGCAGAACCGGTATCTGCGCTTTTCATCAGAAAAACGACTTTCAACATTATTACTCACTTACTATAATTATTAAAGCCTCATAATAATTATTAGGGTCAATTATGGAATTATCTCATAATTATCTAATTAATTTCCTTAATTAGCGGTGCAGGTTCTTACAGTGAAGGTGAGCTTCACTACTGAGCACTTGGCCAAATTGTATGTTCGCGAGATCGTGAGGCTTCACAGGGTGCCCGAGAGTATCATCAGTGATAGGGACCCGAAGTTCACATCTCGGTTCTGGGAGGCACTGCATGGAGCTTTTGGTACTCAGTTGAGATTGAGTACAGCCTATCACCCTCAGACTGATGGACAGACTGAGCGGACTATCCAGACCTTGGAGGACATGTTGCGGGCTTGCACGTTGGAGCAGGGCTCAACATGGGATAGGTACCTTCCGTTGGTTGAGTTTTTGTATAACAACAGTTTCCATGCTAGCCTGGGCATGGCACCCTACGAGGCGCTCTACGGTAGGAGGTGTCGTACACCTACCTGCTGGTCTGAGGTTGGGGATCGTGAGTTGTTTGGCTTGGACTCTGTCCAAGATACCACCCTGCAGATCCAAATGATCAGGGAAAAGCTGAAGCAGGCGCAGAATCGCCAGAAGAGTTACTATGATGTCAAGCATCGTCCACTGGAGTTCAGTGAGGGTGAGCACGTGTTTGTGAGACTTTCACCTGTCCCCTGTTGTATTTTGGGTACTCGTTCTGTATCCCCAAAGGACAAAGTAGAGATGTTGAACCCAGCTTTCTTCAGCATCGAACATTCACTTTTTAAGACCATTCACGATTACCTTATTTGCTGCTTCAGCTTGTCCATTTGACTGTGGGAGTTCCACATATGCAAAACGATGTTTGATGTAAGAACCCACACCGTTAATTAAGGAAGTTAATTAATTAATTATGTGAAATTAGGAAATAATTCCATAATTGACCCTAATAATTATTATGAGGCTTAAATAATTATAGAAAGTGGTTAATAATGCTGAAAGTCGTTTTTCAGACGAAAAGCGCAGATACCAGTTCTGCTAGTCGGTATAAATGCATACCAAAAAAGTATCCCAAAAAATTATAATAAGTGCATGATAATTCCTAGAATAATATATAGGACTTGTCAAACAAGTTTCAAGTTAAAACAATGAGAACTGGTGCCAGAAACTGATACTGGCATTGAAAAACCTGTACCGGAAAGGTGCTCCGAAAAATATAAGAAAAATATGTTAATTCTTGTAAAATTGAGTAGGTTAAGAATCCTGAGTTTGGGATTAAAATCCTAAGTGTAGCAATTAAGGTTAATACAATGCGATTAACTTTAAATCGGCTATAAATACAACTTTGGCACATGATCCTAGGTTATTTTATGCCTCCTACGTGAGTGGCTGAAGGGTCAGCTGCTACCTTATTCAACCTTGGTCTCCTTGCTTGAAAACATTCCAAGTCTTCACCTTTTCTTTTTGAAACCTTCACTTAAACACCATTGTAGAGTGGGAGTTGGTCTTGTAAGGTTGTTGGGTGCTCCATTGTTGAGTTTGAGCTTCTAAGTTTGAGAAGAGTGGGCTGACCTTATGAGTTTGGGTTGTGGGAACTTTTAAGTTGGCTTTTTGAGCTTCAAGGTGTGAACTTTGTGGAGAAAGTACCAACCTCGGTGTGTCATTTTCGTTTTGGGACCAGGTCAGAACTGTGGAGTCAGTTTAGTGAGCTCCAAGAGCATTCTTCCCACTATTTTGAGTTGTTGGTAAGCTTCACCACTCCTGTGCTTGAGTTTAATGCTTAAAAATGGAACCTTGATGCATGTAATGAGCTAAGTTGACAACTTAAGGGTGGTTAAGGTTAAACACACCTAGAAATGCATGTTTAGGCTTTTGTAATCGGTAAAAGTTGGACCTTTGGTTTGGATTTTCGCAAAATGCAAAATCTGGGTTCTGTCGTGAAATATCCAGATATTTTGTTGTGAATATCCGGATATTAATATCCGGATATAGTTATTCGGATATGGGGATCTGAATATCCGGATATGGATATCCGGATATTGGAAGAGAGATATCCGGATATTGATATCCGGATATGCCCCCGATGAATATCCGAATATTCTGGGATTTCGAACAACAGTAGCTGCACTGTTTATACAGTAGGCTATTGGGGGTTTGTGGACCCTAGATTGATGAAGTTGAACTTCTCTTCTAATTGAACTAAGTCAGAATCAAGTGATTAAGGGCTTGTGGCTTTGTGTGAGCCTTAAGACGTAAAACGTAAAAGGAAAGGCGTTGTCTTTTGTTGAATGCTTGTAGAGTATGATTTTGATATATTAATGGTCCATAATAGATTGTGATACTGCTGTGTTTGGACTTTGAGATTGTGTGGACTCTTGGCTGAGATAGCTAGCTTGCAAGATAAGCTTTCGTGTCCTCGGTTTAGCCATTGTGTAGTTCCACCGTGCCCCATGGGGAAGTGGTTATATGCATGTTGTGTTACATGCTTTGATAGATTTGGAATGCTGTTGAGCTTTATGTGTAATGGCTTTTAATATGCATGTGTTGTTCCATCTTGACGGTAAGTCTGAGTATGTGGCGTCATACAAAACGGTGATCCGGGGTGGATGAAAGTGGCGTCTTGCACTATGTTTAGGTATTTGGCATATATAAATCCTGCATTTCTCTGGCCAGTAGAATAGTATTGACACACATGACATGATTATCTGCTGCATTGCACTATTTTAGAACTGAAGATGATAAACTGCTTTTGAACTTATATTGCACATGTAAGTGAGCTTGGGGTGGAAGATCCTTGAGGACCCCTTGCCTTACTGAGATTTCTTGTTTAGAGATCTCACCCCACGTTTGGGGAATGCTTATTTCAGGTTCAGGTAGTATGGGGACTGATGTCTCTGGCGGTAGGAGGCCAGAGCTTAGTTGATGATTATTGCTGTTATATGTTATATGCTGGCATGGCTGGATTGAATGTTGTTTATGTTTTCTGCCTTTATCATTATGTTGTTGTTGAGTTGAGACTTATGTGCGCTTTATTGCCTTATTTGGGGTGAGCATGGGAGTTGTCCATGCCACCATGTTGTTAGTACTTTTGAGTTGAGTTGTATAAACTGTTAGTTTGTTCGGTCTACGTGAGTAGTTCCGTGACTAGAGACATATTTACGCTGTTTAATTAATGAGGTATTTCAGTTAGCTGTCTTTTGCAATTTACATACAGGCAATGTTTTATTAATTGGTTAATAAACAAGTCGGTAATGATTAATGACATCATAATCGAAAAGAAAAAGATATTCCGCAATTTTAATTAAGCGCATCTTAATACGATGATATGATAACATGCCGGATATATACGGGGTGTTACATTTGACTGGCAAGTCTTTCATCAGTTGTTGGAACCTTTTATCAGCAAATTGTGTTCCATTATCAATAACCACCTCGCCAGGTATCCCGAACCTGGAGACTATGTTCCGTTCAAAGAACCTTTGTACTCTAGCTGAGGTGATTGTGGTGACTGGTTCTGCTTCTATCCACTTAGTGAAATAATCTACAGCCACGATCAATCACTTTAATTGTCTTTCTGCAGCTTTGAATGGTCCCAGCAAGTCCATTCCCTATTTGAAAAAAGGTCATGGTGCCGAGATATACTTCAGTTCATCAGGTGGTGAAAGAATTAGCTTGGCATGCTTCTGGCAGCTATCACATTTCTTCACATGGTCTTTAGAGTATGCCTCCATGGTCGGCCAAAAATAACCAGCTCGGAGGGCCTTTCGAGGCAAATCCTTGCCTCCCATGTGATGGCCATTGATTCCTTCATGTATCTTGGCCAGAACATATTTGGCTTCATCCGAGTTTAAGCATTTCAGCATGGGTACGTGCAACCCCTTACCTGGATTCCAATCGATCTTCTGGCAATATTCCTTTCTCAAGGTATGCCATTATGGGTTGTCTCCAGTCATCTGTCGAGGTAATAACCATCACGCAACTCGGCGCTGTTATGCTTTGTTGTACCACAGTTCTGTGGTTGCCAGGGTTTTTGGTACTTGCCAATTTAGACAAGATATCAGCTCGGCAATTTTCCCCTCAAGGAATATGAGTAACCTGTACTTCATCGAAGCCGGCCATTATTTCTTGGACCTTACTCAAGTACTTCATCAGTAGAGGACCTTTGGTTTGGTACTTTCCCTCTATCTGCGAAGTTACCAACTGTGAGTCACTGAATATTTTCACCCTCTTAGCTGCGTGTTCTTTAGCCTGCATCAACCCGGCTATCAGAGCTTCGTATTCTGCTTGATTGTTCGAAGTCGGGAATCCCAAATTCAAGGAGTACTCTATTGTCACTCCTTCCGGGCTTTCAAGTATGATTCCTGCTCCACTTCCTTTATCATTAGAGGATCCATCTACGTAGACCTTCCATGCATCCCCATATTCATTATGCTCTGGTTCATTGGTGTTAGCTCCATTACGAAGTTGGCCAAAGCTTGTGACTTGATGGCCTTGCGACTTTCTTAAGTTATGTCGTACTCACTGAGCTCAATTGCCCAGTTAGTCATTCTTCCTGCCAGGTCCGGCTTATGCAACACCTGTCGTATAGGCTAATTGGTCATGACTATTATTTGATGTCCCTGAAAATATGGCCGCAATCTTCTAGCCGTGATCAGCAAGGCAAAAGCCACTTTTTCTATCTTCTGATATCTGACCTCCGCACCTTGCAAAGCTCTACTGATAAAGTAAACCGGCTCTTGGCCTTTGTCAATTTCCTTGATCAGTACTGCACTTACTGCCTCTTCCTCCACAGCCAGATACAAGATCAGAATGTCTCATGGTTCTGGCTTTGAGAGCACTGGTGGAGTTGCGAGACATCTTTTGACTTTTTTCGAACGCGGCTTGACACTCCGGGTTCCAGCCTCCTATTGCTTCCTTCTTTAATAGTTTAAACAATGGGAGGGCATTCTCAGCAGACTTTGGTAAGAATCGAGTTAACGCTGCTAGCCTACCCGTCAACTGCTGAACCTCCTTTTTATTCTGAGGTACCTTCATATCAAGCATGGCTTTACATTTGTCCGGATTTGCTTCAATCCCTCTATGGGTTAACATGAAACCCAAAAACTTTCCAGCCGGGACTCCGAAAACACACTTTACCGGGTTTAGACGGATTCAATATTTCTTGAGTTTTTGAAAAGTTTGTTCGAGATCCTGGACATGGTTTGTCATATCAAATGACTTGACGATCATATCGTCACTGTATACTTCCACATTTTTGCCCAGCTGATCCTCAAACACCCTATTCATCTTTGATAAGTTGCCCTTGAGTTTTTAAGCCCAAACGGCATCACATTGTAGCAGTAGTTGGCCTTTTCAGCAATAAAGGCGATTTTTTCTTGATCTCCTGGGTACATTAGAATCTGGTTGTAACCAGAATATGCATCCATGAAAGATAGCAATTGAAATCCAGCCGAGTTGTCTACCAGCTGGTCTATGTTGGGCATAGGGTAGGAGTCTTTTGGGAAGACCTTGTTCAAGTTCATATAATCAGTACAGACTCTCCACTTCCTGTTTGGTTTTTTCACCATCACCACGTTTGCCAACCATGTTGTATGTAAGGACCCACACCGTTAATTAAGGAAGTTAATTAATTAATTATTAGAAATAAGGAAATAATTTCATAATTGACCCTAATAATTAATATGAGGCTTAAATAATTATGTAAGTAAGTAATAATGCTGGAAGTCGCTTTTCTGACGAAAAGTGCAGATATCGGTTCTCCTACTCGGTATAAATGTGTACTGATGAAGTACCCCAGAAAATTATAATAAGCGCATGAATATTCCTAGAATAATATATAGGACTTGTAAAACGAATTTCAGGTCAAAATAATGAGAACTGGTGCCAGAACTGAAACTGGCTATGGAAAAGTGCGTACCGGAAAGGTGCTGCGAAAAATAAAATAAAAATATGACAAATCTTAGAAAAATGAGTAGGTTCAGATTTCAAAGTTTGGGATTAAATTGCTAAGCGTAGCAATTAGCGCTAATACAGTGCGATTAAGACTTAAGTGGCCTATAAATAGTAGGGGTGTTCGCGGTCTGGATTGGATCGGTTTTGGAAGCAAAAATCATCTGATCCAATCCCTTCGGTTTGATCATGTAATCATCCATTCGGTTTGGATTTTTTTTCAAATTCGATCCGATCCAATCCAATTTTTTCGGTTTGCATTGGATCGGTTTTCGGATTTTTTAATATCCTAAATTTGTTTCTTTTGTATATATTGACTTTGTAATTTTATTTTTTTTAAATACAAAAGCATCATTAAACGATAATATAGTTTTTCATTTTTGGGCAATGAGATATGAAGCTCTACATAGATTAAATTTTGTTAATGAGATATGACTAGGCTTTTTCTTGGATTTAGTTGATGGTTAATGGATCTTTGGTTTAGAAATTTTTGGGCAATGATTGGGGAAAAACCCAAGTAGATAGAGAGAAATTAATATATTGGAACGGTTTGGATTGGATCGATTTTCATTAATCAATCTGAAACCCGATCCAATCCAATTAAAATTTGCGATTTTTTTCTGTTTTCGACTTTTCGGTTTTCGGTTTATTCGGTTATCGGTTTTTCGATTCGGTTATTTCGGTTTGAATCGGTTTGGATTGGTTGATGAACACCCCTAATAAATAGCCTTGGCACATGATCCTAGGTCAGATTTTTGCACTCTATGTGAGTCATTTGCTGAAGCTCCTAACCAGCCACCCTTGCTGTAAGAACCCACACCGTTAATTAAGGAAAGTAATAAATTAATTATGTGAAATTAGGAAATAATTTCATAATTGACCTTAATAATTATAAGAAGGCTTAAATAATTATAGAAAGTAATTAAGAAGGCTGAAAGTCGCTTTTCTGACGAAAAGTGCAGATACCGGTTTTGCTACTCGGTATAAATACGTACCGATGAAGTATCCCGAAAAATTATAATAAGTGCATGAATATTCCTAGAATATTATATAGGACTTGTAAAACAAATTTTAGGTCAAAATAACGAGAACTGGTGCCAGAACTGGTACTGGCTATGGAAAAGTGCGTACTGGAAAGGTGCTGTGAAAAATAAAATAAAAATATGATAAATCTTAGAAAAATGAGTAGGTTCAGAATCCTAAATTTGGGATTAAGTTTCTAAGCGTAGCAATTAGCGCTAATACAGTGCGATTAAGTTTAAACCGGCTATAAATATGACTTTTGCACAAAACCCTAGGCATTTTACTATTGCTACGTGACCTTGGAGGCTGACCAGCCTTAGTGCACTATTCCATTGCCTTCCCTTCCCCATTTCTTGAGCCTTGAGACCATTTCCTTCATGAAATCTTCTCCAAAACACTTGGTGTGAGTGAGGATTACCATTGGGGGTGAGTGTTGGCCTTGTTTCTGAACCTTGGGTCTCTGTTTGGAGAGTTTAAGGGGTTGTTTCTGAGTTGTATCGTGTGGAAGTGTTTCCTTTGGTTGTGGGAGCTCCAAGAAGCTAACTTTGTGAAGAAAGGACCTTGCCTGTGTGGTATTTTCGTGTACTTTTGGAGTGAGCACGTTGGAGCTGACTTGTGAGCTCCAAGAGCACCTTTGGTTTGCTGTTTAGAACCTTCGGTAAGTGTCACCACCTTGATCATGAGTTTTAATGTTTAAAAGAGGAGTCTTGGCATGTTTAATGGGTTAGTTAAGTAACCAACCAATATATGAACCTAAATGGGCTTAAAGATGCATGCTTTAACGTGTACGAGTGTTAAAAATGGAACCTTGAGAGTGATATCTCGCGAAATGCAGAAACTGCATTCTGTCGCGAAATATCCAGATATGATATCTGGATATTGGTATCCGGATATGGGGTCTTGAGATATCTGAATATGGACATTCGGATATGATATCCGGATATGGCCCCAACTTATATCCGGATATTCTGGATTTCCGAGAACAGTAGCGGTACTGTTCATACAGAACTGAGTTATGGGTTTGTGGACCCAAGATTGATGAAGTCGAACTTCGGTAATGACTTGTTAAGTCAGAATCTTAGTGATGATGGGCTTGTGGCTTTGTGAGGGGCCTAAAAACATGAAATGCAAAGGAAAGTTCTTTATGTCATATGCTTGTAGAGTATGATTACTGATATGATTGTTGGTCTAAAACATATTGTGATCTTGCTGTTTGTGGACTTTGAGCCTTTGTGGACTCTTGTGTGGATAGTTAGCTTAAGAGGTAAGCTTTCGTATCCTCGGTTTAGCCATTGTTTGTTCTACCATGTCCCATGGGGGATGGTTTATATGCATGATGTGTTTTCATGTACTGTTTTATTGAAATGCTATGGAGCTGTTAAGTACAAAATGCTTATGATATGTATTTGGTGTTTCGCCTAGCTAGGAAGCCATGGGGTAGTCCTGGGGGCGGGTACAACATGGGCATGTACTGTGTGGGTAATAGACGTATTCCTGTACTTCTCTGATCAATAGAATAGTTATAACACACATGACATGATTATATGCTGCATTGCACTGGTTTTGGAACTGATATTGAATTACTGCTTTTAGAACTTATATTGCACATGTAAGTGAGCTTGGGGTGGAAGATCTTTGAGGACCCCTTGTCTTACTGAGATTTCTGTTTAGAGATCTCACTCCACATTTGGGGCGCTTATTTCAGGTTCAGGTAATGCGGGGGTTGAGACCTCCAACGGCAGAAGGCCGAAGCTTAGCTGATTTATATGCTGTTATGCTGATTATGTTGGATGCTGGATTATGTCTGTTGCCATTTGCTGTTAACTTTATGATTTTATTGTTGTTGTTGTTGAGACCTTGTTTGGCTTTGTTGCCTTATTTGGTGAGCTTGGGGATTGTCCATGCCACACTGTTTGATTATGTCTTACTTTAGCTCTGAGTTGTAATAATGTATCAGGATTATGTCCGGACTACGTGTTGTAGTTTCGTGATTTTAGATACTCACAGTTATTTATTAATGAGGTATTTCAGTTAGCTGTCTGTTGCAACTTACATACAGGCGATGTTTTTATGGAATTGATTAAGTAGTCAACTTGGCTAAGTTTAATGACATCATAATTTAAAAGAAAAAGAATATTCCGTATTTTAAATTAAGTGTGGCTTAATACGATGACATGTTAACAAGCTGGGTATACACAAGGTGTTACACTTGCCACCTTCTCCTCTCTTCATTTGTGAGCCAAGGAGCCACCCTTTCTTCATGAAACCTTCACCCAAACACCATTATTGAGTGTGCTTTGGTCTTGTGAGTGAGTAAAATGTAACACCCCGTGTATACCCGGTAGTGTTATCATACTATCGTATTAAGCTGCGCTTAATTAAAAATGCGGAAAATCTTTTTCTTTTCAATTATGACGTCATTATACTTAGCCAAGTTGATTACTTAATCAATTTCATAAAATACCGCCTGTATGTAAATTGCAAATAAACATCTAACTGAAATACCTCATAACATAGATAAAGTGAGTATCTAAAATCACGGATCTACACACGTAGTCCGGACAATATTCTGATACATTAATACAATTCCAACTAAAACAAGGGATAAACGAGTCTACGTGGCATGGACAATCCCCATGCTCACCAATCAACGACATAAACAAGCAAGTCTCAACATAATAACCCAAATCCATAAAGAAGCTAAAAGCATAAAAGTAGCATGCATAACTAGCATCCAACAAGTCAGCATATAATAACAACAATATCTAACTCAGCTCCGGTCTCCTGGGGCCTCAACCCCAACAATACCTGATCCTGAAATAAGCATTCCCCAAACGTGGGGTGAGATCTCTAAACCAGAAATCTCAGTAAGACAAGGGGTCCTTAAGGATCTTCCACCCCAAGCTCACTTACATGTGCAATATAAGTTCGAAAAACATTTATATCAATATAAGTTCCAAAACTATGCAGTGCAACAGATATTCATGCCATGTGTGTTATAACTATTCTACTGCCCAGAGAAATGTAGGAATACGTCTATACCTACATGTAGTACAAGGAACACCGCTTGC